AAGAGATTTAAATTGATTCACAGTTCAGTAGTTAGAACTTGAATAATGGTTATCATTATCTTCATTGAGATGCAAGATTGCCAAAATAAGTAGAATTTAGATCATTATTTTTAATATTAATGTTTGGTCTAAACAAATCGTAAAGCTCATCATCGCTCAGTATACTGAAGGGAACGTTTTCAGCCATTAGGGATCAGAATATAACACACAATAAAGTACATCGTTTCCTGTACGGACAATGGGCGTGAGCGCGTGGGCAAGGCAGAGACCTGGGGAGAGAAAAAAAAAAGACGAGAGTGAAAAGAAAGAAGAACAGTTACAATACAAAGAAGAGGCTACACAAAAGGAAACATTGATACGACTGGTAAACGATTAGATACACACACAATTTCGTGTGCATAATGGAACCACACATAAGCATGCACGGACATGGATGAGCTTCCATGCGTATTAAAAATAAAACACGTTTGGAATGCCCACCCGACACGAGATAGGCTCCAATAGAGCAACCAACCTAAAATCAGAGCGAACCTCCCAAACAAATGCAGGTGAAAATGCGGAACGCAAAGAATTGTTAATCAAACCAAAACACCACATACGGTTGGCTAATTAATAATAAAAGCAAATGTGGTATAACTTTATGTCAATATGATGACAATATACCGAAGATCCATTTAAAAAGAATGTACCACCTGGCCAGGTAAATCACCTCCATATGCAAAACTAAATATTTAGTTATTTAAACATATTCAAAATTTGACTGCAAGATAATCCCAATCATGAAGCTATACTTGGAGATGCACGCTCTAGTTGTATGCATTACAGTAAATAAAGAAATAAAACACCTTATCTCCAACTGGTCATTTGATTTGTTTGTGAACATTTTTGTATATATATTTTTTGTTAACACAGCTACTAAATTGCATACAACAGTCTTGAATCAACAACATGAACACCATATTATTTCGTTGGTTTATGGAGAGAATTGGGAAACATTATAGGAGGTACCACTTTTTACCTCAAAGATACAGAACTTAATACAGGTATTTCCAAAAGAAATGTTATATCCACATAATTTTCCTGAACGAAAGAAACTTTTTCTGAATGAAGGAAGACGCATTTATAACTTCCTAAATTACCCATGTATGCAAAACAAAGGATCAGTTAATATACACAAATCAATATAAAATTGACTGTAAGTCAATCTCATTTCACAACCAAAGAAAAGAAAAGAAAATAATGCAATAAACAACCATGCAGCCACCATCGAAGACGCAAGCCCTAGTTCCTTACAGTATCACAGTAAACAATTTGAACCTCTGTATATCTTCATGACTACACGAATGTAGGAATAACACAAAAACATTTCAGTTTGTCCTTTGCATGACCTTTCTTGTATTAAAGTTGTAGAACTTGGTAGGCAAGGGGGGGTTTGTCTACATCAATAGGTTTTCACATTGAGACTTGATAAAAGAGTCCTGAAGTTATAGAAAACTCATTAGGAGATTACAACAGTCAGTAGTTGGTATACATCAGAGTTTTTTTTTGTTAACAATTAAATTCAGGGCAGAACTGATTAACCCCTAGGATGTACGTTTCAACTAGTCACCCAAAATTTGCTTGTTTACATCTTCAAGAGGGATAGCATAAAATCGGAATTTCATTTTTTTTTTAACAATTAAATTCAGGGCAGAACTGATCAACCCCTAGGCTGTACGTTTCAACTAGTCACCCAAAATTTGCTTGTTTACATCTTCAAGAGGGATCGCATAAAATCGGAATTTCATTTTTTGTTTAACAATTAAATTCAGGGCAGAACTGATCAACCCCTAGGCTGTACGTTTCAACTAGTCACCCAAAATTTGATTGTTTACATCTTCAAGAGGGATCGCATAAAATCGGAAATTCATGTGATACATGTATAATGATATAAAAAGTGATCATCACAAAAGACTGAAATTATGAACATAACCAAAAATGGATGTGAACTTGCAAATCTATATAAAATATAAAAACAAACTGTAAATGTCAATGGTGCAAAACACTATAATGATGAAAACACACCATTAAGTTAAATTATTTGTTGAAGATCTCTTGAATCTATTTAGTGTGGCTGACCTCATTACTCCTCCCCATTGCCGGGTTCAGACCATGCAGACCAATTTTCTGGGGCGGCTCCATTCCGTGTGATTTTGCGCGTTTGTAGAATTATTTTCGATCCCAAGATTTGTATTCTTGTTGCTAAGTGATCCTTTCGACTGAAGCCAATCTCCCCCTCTCTCTCTTCATCTTGGGGGGCAAGTAAGTGCGGATAGTGACTTTACTGAAGGGGGACGATTCCGGGGGCGGAATGAGCGACTGGGCACTGGCCGATGGGTGTGTACTTAGCTGGCGTGGTCGTCGTTCGAAGCCATACAGCAAGCGATCACGATCAATCATCCTTACGAACCTGATGATAATTGTGGAGGACTGGGGACGAGCTCCTGCAGCTCCACGAGTGGTTGGGGGCCGTAGCCTGTGAGCATTAGTAAGCGGGATCCGAGTTGCCTCTTCCCTCGAAATGCCCATGAAGTACACAAAGACTTCTTGTGCCACTTCATAGATATCTTCCTTCTCATTCCTCTGTCTCACTCCATAGATAAGCAGGTTCTGTTTTCTGTCATGTATTTCACTCAAGGTTACTTTTTCCTCTAGTTCTTCGATTTTTGTGTCAATTAAAGAACGTAGTTGAGGTAGGTCTTCTTTTTCAATGCTAGAGACTTTATCGGAGGTGTAAGTAAGACCCGTTTCTAGATCTGATACAGTTTTCTTGGTATTTGCCAGGGCTGTTTTCATATTGGCCCTATCATCCATAATTCTGTCAAGCTTACCATTTAGTTGAGTGAACGAGGCTCTCGACTCCAGCATAAAGGAAACAAGTTCTTGGGTCATCGTGGCCGGTGCGCTGCGGTCCTCGTGCAATGACAATGGCGTGTCACTAGCAATGGCGCCTGCCGTAGCGGATTGCTCACCTTCACTTGATATTACATCACTGTTTTTGCTCTTAGTTGAAGCATTTGGTTGTGATTTTCCCTTCTGCTGTTGCCTTAAGTCGTAGTCTCGCGCACCCTTATCCATTCTTAAAGATATGGGATCTTGAAACGGATATTTTCACCAAATTTGAGTTGATATGTCGGGAGCTCTCAAAAGACCGTGCGTTTACCAGTAAGTCATTACATAGTCATAGTTAAACCCTTAGTCAAACAGTTACAACCCTAGTTGAATCCACCTTTGTTTTAATCAGTATTGAGTAAAAACATGTACGTAATAACTAAATTAGTACATGTTTTTACTCAATATTGATTGAGCAACTAAGCGTTACCCAGAAAACATCATACTCAATATTTGAGCAAAAAATTGCTCAAACAATTTGAGTCAAAACATGTACTCGTTAATTGAGTAAAATTTGGCTCAACTCATGAGCAGTTTCTTACTCGACATGGGTTGAGTACGTTTCTACCCAGATGCTGAGTAAAAAGGGAACCGCTCAGCAAAGGAGTAAATATTGAGTAAAGGTTGACTCATTCAAACTGAGTAGAGATTTAGTCTTTTATTGAGTAATATTTTTACTCAACAGATGAGTAGATTTGTTACTCAACACATGCTGAGTACAGTTTACTCAAAAGTTGGGTGGTTCCCTTTTGACTACTTAAAAGAGTAACATTTTTACTCAAATTGAGCAGTTTTTATTTAGAGTGTATATCAAGTCACGACTTGACTATTTACAAAAACCAGATGCATGAAACAAATGCATACATATATTTAAAATACGATTTGGAAAGACAATCTCAGTGCTCGAAAATATTATTTATAATACCCAGTTTACACAAACATATGTTAAGTCATAATTAACCCAAAAATATTCATGACAGGAAACTGTCACATAAGCTCCATGTTCTTTGAAGTGAATACATACTTTTTTGTAATGGTTCGAGTAGTTTTATTTGAGTCGAAACACAACCATGATTTATTATCATTTTGTTTTCTTTAATAATTAATAAAATCATCTTTATTCAATATTGCTTTCGAATTTGCAAAACATAAAACAAAACATAATGAATATACATACATAATACAACCAATATAATCAACAACAAGAATATGGCTGATTATACAAAACATGGTGGTACATTTTTGAAATATTTTGTTTAAAGCAACACAATGTTTTTTCACCTATTGTCAAATGATACAAATGTATTATTTTTAACATAAATGTATTGTTCAAGATAATACTTCAACATGCATTTTAAAGAATTTAGTGATAGTACGCTATTTTTGCATTTGTTGAAATTATTTAGTGTTTGGCATATAAAATAATTAAATTAAATTGAACTCCATCGTTTCCATAAACCCAAACAAGAAATTGATTTTATTCAAGGTAACTTTAACTTCTATTAAAAATAAGATTTTGGACATCCGCAATAAACCTTCTAATAATTGGGCAATCCCAAATTAAATGTTCTATAGATTCCACGGAGCGATGACAAAAGGAACCTAAGTCTGACTGCGAAATATTCAATAATTTAAGATATATATGAACACCAACTATACGATGTATTATCTTAAACTGAAAATAATAATAATAATAATATGACAAATTTATATAGCGCTTGTGACAAAAGTTTCAAAGTGCTGTACATGTACACAAATCAAAATTACTTCAAACAAAAATCAATGTTACCAATGGAATTAACATTACTCAAATTACCAAGAAAACAAAATATTACTAACATAACTTAACAAATTATCATTACTTAAATTAACAAGATCAAATATTTCTAACATAACTTTACGAATTAACATTACTAAAACTACCAAGAAGATCAAACATTACTAAAATTACTAACGAAATTAACAAGACATGTAAATTCCTTGGAAATTAACACATTATATCGGTAATAGCAATAATTTGAAAAGACATAATGAAGGCATGGAAATATTTATTCGAACTTATTTTAGAGTTATTTGGGTTGCTTTTGGAATAGATGAGTTTTTAGATTCTTTTTGAAAATGTCAATGGTGGGTGAGTCCTGGATATGGGCGGGGAGTGTGTTCCAAAGAGTGGGGGCACAGACTGAGAAGGCCCTATCACCATAGCGGTTGTGGGTGCGAGGACCAAGTGCGAGCTGGGGTCTGGATGATGATCTAAGGTTCATGCCGGTAGTCTGTTTGGGTGAGATCAGTTCAATCAGGTATGATGGTGCGCGATGATGGATGATGTTGAACGTGAGGAGAAGGATCTTGAATTGGATACGTTGGGGAATTAAGAGCCAATGTAGAGTGCGGATGACTGGAGTGATGTGGTCGTGCTTTCTGGTGCGAGTGATAAGACGTGCAGCGGTGTTATGTATGTACTGAAGTGGGGCCAGATGAGAAGCAGGTAAGTTGATTAATAATGAGTTACAATAGTCTAAATGGGAAGTTACCAATGCATTAACTAGTCGTTCAGTAGAGCTGCGATCAAGGTATTTCCGGATTTTCCCAATCCTATGAAATAATACCGTAGCTAGCTGCCCGACACACTTTTCGGATGTGCTCTCTTAACCCCAGTCGTAAAAAAAATAGGAAAAAAATAGAGGAAAAATAGGGATAAAATAGTCCCGAAAATATTTTTTTTCCCCCATTTTTTTCCTATTTTTTAAAAGGAAAAAATAGGGAAAAAATAGTTTTGGAAATAGGAAAAAATAGGGTTGAAACAATTTTTTCTATTTTTTTCCTATTTTTTTCCTATTTTTCAGACCTGAAAATAGGAAAAAAAAATAGGAAAAAAATAGTGTAGAAAATAGTGAAGAAAATAGTGATAAAATAGTGATAACTAGGTGCTAGTGAACAGTGGAAATTAGTGAGAAAATAGTAATAAAATAGTGAGGAAATAGGTAAAAAATAGTGAGGAAATAGGACAAAAATAGTAAGGAAAAAGGAAAAAAATAGCTAAAAAAATAGTGGGAAAATAGGGAAAAAATAGTAATAAAATAGTAGGAAAATAGCAATAAAATAGTGAGGAAATAGGAAAAAAGTAGTGAGGAAATAGGAAAAAAACAGTAAGGAAATAGGAAAAAAATTGCAAAAAAATAGTGGGAAAATAGGGGGAAAATAGTAAGAAAATAGGAAAAAAATAGTAAGAAAATAGGGAAAAATAGGAAGAAAATAGTGAGGAAATCAAAAAAATAGTCAGGAAATAAGGGGGATCACTCATACTTTACTTTCTTGGATTTCTCAAGCACTACCATCTCACACATCCAGTCAACGACTCTGTATATTCAACTAAATCATACAGTGCAAACTTGATATAAAGAGATCAGTTATACCTAAAATGACAAGGTAATTTACCAGCTTTTGGGGGTTAATATTTCTTGGTTGCACATGACCTTATTGTCAAAATTTTCCACTGTAGAATAGTCACCCTACTCCTACAGCTCTTTCCTCTGCATCGATGCACCTACTCAGTTTGCCAAATTCACTTCATCCTTTCAGTCTAATCCATTCAGTAGGACATTTAAAATAGTCAATGGGTATATATGGAAAATGTTATACAGTCCACTCCTATTATAACGAACATGGATACACCAAGATTTTATTATGAGGCAATTCTCATCAGTCCCAATTTTAAACAAACCAATGTGTTCAGTGACTTGAGTATAATTTATCATGATTTCATTTTAACAAGGAAATTGGCTTGGTCCCGAGCACCTCGTTATAATGGCAGTGGACTGTAACAAACAAAAAGAATAAAAGGGAATATGTCCAATAAAATACATGTACTTTATTTTCCAGAGGTGAATTTCAGGACTATTACTGAGCCGATGCGGATATGCCAGACGATTACAAGCTCTCTTCCTCACTAGTAACCAAATAAAGCAGTACTCTGGACATGAGAGTGTTGTTTTCTGTCTCTTTTATTACAATTTAATTACAAAGTGCTCTTAATAATGTAATACAATTTTCAAACATCAAGAAAATCAGGACAAATAATATTTTGTTCTCGTTGTTTACAAAGATAACAAAATAAAAAAAAACATAGAACAGATTTTTCAACAATGCACGTATGCTTTATAGTACAGTTGACATGTTACATAATTTTCTCAATCTCAATGGAACTGTCAATCATCATATTCTAGAAACATTTACTACAAAATCAATGACATGTCATGTCATTGAGATATATATAAACAAGAAAATGACAGACTTACATGCTACTATTTTCAAATAGTTTTACAAAGTATACCATCATTACCATGTATCATAAGTAATGGTCTTATGGTCCTTTATCTTCACAATATGCAGGCACTCATTGTGTACACATACATGTTGTACTTGCCTATGAATATCAATGATTATTGATTAGACATAAGAATATCATAATAAAATGGAAACAAATACTAATGTAAAGGATACAGATGTTGGTCATGCTGTTCACAGGCATCTATCAAATGGTGGTTGTACGTAACATGTACATTGTCTCTTGATTAGTTTCAATGGATCTGTAAAGATATAAATGAAATGTGAGTTAGGGGTTAGATTAATCATGCATTGGTACATTTATGAACATGCAATTAATACTTAGTACAAATATTTATGTTTTTCATAATAAAAAATTCAAAGGCACAGAACATGTGTGTACAAAAGTATGATAGCAAAAAAGATGCCAGGCATAAAATACAGTGAAGAAAATAGTAAAGGAACAATTTTTTGAAGAAAAAAGTAAAAAGGAAAGAGAAAATAATGTAGGTAGAACTTGTGCCACCTGCAAATTTTTTTTCTAGCATAATGATGAGGTAAACTACTCTAATATTTTGATGTCAGATCTTAAAGGTAATACAAAGTTTTGGGAAATTTTGAAAATTGGGTGGATAGTGAATCTTTACAATTTTGATATATTTGGATGCCCCTGTGGATGTATTATAAGCACTAAAAAAATTAGCCCCTAAAACACTTCTGTTTTCGAGAAAAATTGAATATAAAAATTTACCGGTGCTCCCGGTAAATTTTGATAAATTTCAAATAGCGCCTATGGCCGTACAATGGTAGCTGCGACCATGAAAATCTCCGCATATGTAGTTGGGATATATAATTTCCAAACGGGAATAGCTAATCGGTTGATTTTAGTCAAGAAACATTGATTCATAGCTAAATTAATATCTTGACCTTGAGAGGGAGCTATACAACATAAAGAGTTTATTATTTATAATATAACTTAAGACTCGATTTCAACAGCGACAACGATCAATAGGCAATTTTCGCAAACTCATTGCGGAATTAGAATCTGCGGTTCGTGTGCAAAATCGAGAAGATACTATAGTAACAGTTGGCTGACCGCTGAGGTCCTGAAATCTAGAACGGGTTTTGGCCAAATCTACGGGCGTTCTCAATGACGCCCTAAGTGAATCAAGTGCCTCGATACAAACTATTTCATTCACCTGATAATAATAATAGTATTTAAATAGACAGAATCCAATCTGCATACATTAGTTGTTGTCACACTTAATACATGCAGTTTGCATTCTGACTATTGCGAATCCTAGACAGGTGAATGAAATAATTTGTATTGAGGAACTTCACAAAGACGTATGTATTAAATTTGATTACATTTAATACGAAAATGGCCTTTTCCCTTCCACGCTATACAGTACAGACGGGACTACACGACTAGCACAACTTGTCTCGACCGAGCCACAAAGCGGCTTATTTTAATCAAATTTCAACAGTATTTTATCATCAAGTTTTAAAAAATTCATGTTATATCCATATTCATGTTGTTATTGTTCAGAAACAATAATCGGAAGAAACAAAACTCACCGAAAAGTCATTCGTGTCAGGGGCGGATCTAGGGGGGTAGGAGGTTTAAATCCCCTCTTGGGCTGGCCAAGGTGCTTTCTACCCCCCCCCCCCCCCCCGAAATATTGGTTGGCACTTTTTTCAAATTGAAAACAAATTTTAGTGCTCCCTACCCCCCACTAAGCGATATATTGGTCGGCGCGATTTTTCAAATGTCAACCCCCCCCCCCCTCCCACGCCATAGAAAAGAAGCTAGATAGTAGATCCGCCCGTTAGAATTCGTCATTCGTTATTAGACGACGAAATTCTCATAACCGTCTTTGGTACAAGCTCGCTGATTGGCTGTTTATTCACTTGGGGCGTCATTGAGAACGCCCGTAGATTTGGCCAAAACCCGTTCTGGATTTCAGTACCTCAGCGATCACCCTGCTGTTACTATAGTAGCTTCTCGATTTTGCACACGAACCGCAGATTCTCTGTCCGGAATGAGCTTGCGAAATAACCCTAATGTTTGTCGAACTGGCAACAACTAATGTATGCAATTTGGATTCTGTCTATTGAAATAGTATTATCCTTATCAGGTGAAAGAAATATTTTGTATAGAGGCACTTCACAAAGACGTATGCATTAAATTTGATTACATTACGAAAATTGCCTAATGGCATCGCAAATGCAATACCTCCGTAAAGTCGTACGCATTAACCGAAAAGCGAAACCACATATTGTATCGAGGGCGGTCGTAAATCTGAGTGCTCTGCGTCCGCGAAGGTCTGTATGTTGCTGAGTGAAAACTCGCTAATGTATATTGTAGGAACGCATAGACCCTATGCTTCCAATATGTTAATTTGAACCAAATTCATGACCCAATACTAAATCTTTGTAATACCTTTAACTAACAAACATGAAATAAATATACCCCAACAAATTATCAACAATAGATTTAGATTTCTACTTAGTAAGGACATTTACCTCGCAGACACATTCTCGGACTTGGAAGACTTGCTCTTCTTCTTAGCTTGCGTGGTGCTTAGCAGGTTGGGTTTTCTGATTCCTAGAAAAAAAATCACTAAAATGGGATAAGGAGGCATCGGAGTATGAGGAGTCACTATCTATTGATGAAATTTCATCGCTAGAATAATTGCTGGAAGACATTGTGGTGTGATTTGGAGACGTTTGATGAACGAAAATCAGCAATAAAAGTCCGATGCGCACAATGATTCAGCAAGCGCACAATGATTCAGCAAGCGCACGAAAAGCAGTGGGGGAAAAAAATAACGGGTTTCTTTTTGAATCCGTGCTAACTCGCCCCACGGGACATCTCGCCCCAGCCTCAAAGACTGGGGCGAGATGTCCCGACACGATTCATCGATCGAGAGATACCAATATGTGTATTATGTTTGTGCACATTGTACATTTTTAGACGTCACATTCTTTCGTCCTGGCCGTAAATTAGCAGACCACTTGTATCTCTCGATCGATAAATCATGTCGGGATATCTCGCCCCAGTCTTTGAGGCTGGGGCGAGATGTCCGTGGGGCGAGTTAGCACGACTCCTTCTTGTTCAGTTACGTAGGGGTACTTGCGTACTGTCCTCTACATTGAAACTTTACACACACATAGAACGGGAATATCTCGATCGAATGCTTTTTTTCTATTAATAAAGGAAAAAATAATTGAAATTTTTATCTGTACATTTTCTTTTTACACATGGTTTAGTTATGGTTATCTTTGAGCTCACTATTCAATATGTGACCCGACAGCTAAAAACCACCAATTAAGTCGCAAAATGAACAACAGAGATAAACACTGGCAGGAGAAGCGGGCTTTTTTAATAGGATGCCAGTCAAAAACAATGAATAAGCAAGTTTAGAAAATAGGAAAAAAATAGTTTACAAATTTGTATCATGTCATCAAAAATCAAAGTGCAAAAAATAGGAAGAAAATAGTACTCGCAAATAAGTAAAAAGAAGTCTGAAAAAGATTAAGGTGAAAAAATAGGGAAAAAATAGTCTGAAAAAGATTAAGATGAAAAAATAGGGAAAAAATAGTTTTGAAGTCGAAAAGAGAAGAAAAAAAAATCCTATTTTTTTTAAATATATTTTTGGAGAAAATAGGAAGAAAATAGTCTGAAAAAGATAAAGGTGAAAAAATAGGGAAAAAATAGTTTGGTACTCGAAAATAGGAAAAAATAGAACTATTTTTTCCTATTTTCTTATAAAAACAATAGGAAAAAAATAGTCCACGAAAGTTGAAGGTGATAAAAATGGGGAAAACATAGTTTGTGCTTGAGAATAGGAAAAAAATAGGACTATTTTGTTCCTGTTTTCTTATAGGAAATAGGAAAAAAATAGTCTGAAAAAAAATATAGGTAACAAAAATAGGGGAAAATAGTTTGTGCTTGAAAAGAGGAAAAAAATAGGACTATTTTTTTCCTGTTTTCTTATAGGAAATAGGAAAAGAATAGTCAGAAAAAAAATATAGGTGAAAAAAATAGGGGAAAATAGTTTTTACTTGAAAATAGGAAAAAAATAGCCCTATTTTGTTCCTATTTTCTTGAAGGAAATAGAAAAAAAATAGTCTGAATTTCCAGAAAATAGGAAAAAAATAAGTAAAAAATAGGGAAAAAAAATATTTTCGCAACACACAAAACTACAAGGGAAGTCTAGCGAGTTATCAACGATAACACCCAGATCTCTTGCAGAATTGGTCGCAGTGATAACAGCTCCGTCTATGTGAAGGCTAACAGACTCGTTCCGTTTCCTAAATTGTGATGTAATGTGGATGAGCTCAGTCATAACGGATACATACTTGCCCAAATATTCATATACCAATACACCATGTAAAATATCTAGTGTAAACTTGTTACATCAGTTGCACATACTTTGAAAACAAGAAAGCCAATTTGTGGAAATGTATATCCAAGTATCAATTATCAATCTACATCACTATCAAGTATCTCAAAATGTGCAATCGTAGATATCCTTCTTTGGTAAAAGCACGAGATTTAACAAGGTGTTAACGTACAAAATCATTCAAAGATCATTATACAATCCACTGAATCTAGTCTTTGAAAAATACATAGGGTAGAACAGTAATGACAGTAATATTTTTATATATATAAACACTTTCTGGACATAAGTAATTTAAGAGGAAACAAGCAGATGTAACGGTGTTTAGGTGCCAAATCTAAAGGCTCAGGAGGGGATCCTGGAGATGGTGACTTTAATTTGTTAGTGGTGGTTATTTGACATGACTGCTAAGAAAGCATACATGCTTGTTAGGATGCAGCAAGAGAACCGACGGATTTAGGTCCTCTCCGAGGGACCCGGAAATGAGGATTAATGCCTTACAAAAGGGCACTATAGCGCATCGACTTGGTTTCGAACCTGGGACGCCGGATTACGAGACCACTGCTCTAATGCTCTACCAACTGAGCTATGGCGACAAATCAGGATGCTCAGAAGGGGGCTCCTGGAGAAGGTGTGGAGGTGACAAACCTGGTGGGCAACTCGGTATGACTCGGCATGTTTCGCAGCACGATCGTCGTGCTCGTACTCCACTCTTCGAACCTCGAATACCACTCGCGTATTATTGAAGGTGGCGAGTTGAAACAAGTTAAGAGTGCAGTACGAGCTTGTTACGAGTAATGCGAGTATGTTACGAGTGTAAGCAAGTTCATCTCTAGTAACAATGGGTCAGTAATATTTTTTGAACATGTTCAAAAATTCATGCGACTTCGAGGAGAGTCATGGAATGTTGCAAAGAGTTAAGCCGAGCCATACCGAGTTGTCGCGAGTTATCCCGAGTTACAAGAAGAGTATTTTGCGAGATATTGCAAGTGTCTCTTAATCAGGGCTCCCACTTAGCCGAGTTGTATTAGCGAGTTATGGCGAATTGTGGTGAGTTGCCTCAAAGAGGCACTCGCAATAACTCACGAACAATTCGGTATGGCTTAGCGTAACTCTTCTCGAAGTCGCGAGCAGTTCAAAAATTTGGAACATGTTCAAAAATTTCACCCAATTCGTTGTAATTCGAGGTGAACTCGCCTACACTCGTAATATTTTCGCATTACTCGTAACAAGCTGGCGCTGCACTCTTCATAACTCGTAGCAACTAGCCACCTTATGAAGAGTGCAGCGCGAGCTTGTTACGAGTAATGCGAGTATATTACGAGTGTAAGCGAATTCACCTCGAGTAACAACGAATTCACCTCGAGCAACAACGAATCAGTAAATATTTTGAACATGTTCAACTTTTTCGCTGATTTGTTGTAGCTCGAGGTGAACTTGCTTAACACTCGTAATATACTCGTAGCAACTCGCCACCTTATGAAGAATGCAGCGCGAGCTTGTTACAAGTAATGCGTGTATATTACGAGTGTAGGCGAGTTCACCTCGAATTGCAACGAAACGGGGAATTTTTTTGAACCTGTTCCAAATTTTGGAACTGCTCGCGACTTCGAGGAGAGTCGTGGAATGTTGTAAAGAGTTACGCTAAGCCATACCTTATTCAGTTTTATTTAAAAACAGGGTAGTCTTTTCAGTGACAGAGGCCTGCTTTACAAAAGAGCACTGTAAATACAAAGATTTACAAAAAATAGAATACATTGTAGAAAACAAAGAATTATATAAACAACATACCATAAGAAAACTAAAACAACTTAAAAACTTTTTAAATAAAACTGAATAAATAAATAAGAAGGATATGTGATGGTTATCGTTTCGGAAGCCTTGGAAATATCCAGGAATACCACAGTCTGTTCATAATTTTAAACAAATATGCTATTTTATTTGTAAACATTAGGTGTGGATGTGTTGAATGGTGGTTAGCTCGAAAACCAAACTGCGAAACACTTCCTTTATCACGACAAAATACATGCCATTATGAATCATAACATTTCATACACACCACCGCAGCATTCTAGCATACAAGACCAAACCTACACATGCTTCTATATACACAAATGTGGGAAATCCCATATTGCGAAATTGCATGTAGCGCAATGTATGGCAGACGAGCGTAATATGATCTTAGAGGTTGTACAAAAGGAACCTCAATCCCCAAGCCCCATGTGTTTCCACGTATATTGATTTGATTGATTGATTTTTATGCCTCCGCCACCGAAGGTGGTGCCGGAGGCATCATGTTTTCGGGTTGTCCGTCCGTACGTCCGTCCGTACGTCCGTCCCATTTGACCGTTATCACAATATCTCAAGGACCATTTAAGATTTAAACTTAAGACTCGGGAATAGTATTTATCACCATAGGAAGACGATCTGATTAGATATTGGAGTACGTAGGTCAAAGGTCACAGGTCACAGAGGTCAACTTATGAAATTCCTTGTATTGAGTTTGTTAGCGCGATATCTCAAGAACCATTTGAGATTTAAACTTCAAACTTAAGGATAGTATGTATCACCATAGGAAGACGGTCTGATTAGATTTTGGAGCACGTATGTCAAAGGTCAAGGGTCACAGAGGTCAACTTATGAAATTCCATACATTGAGATTGTTATCATGATATCTCAAGAACCACTGGAGATGTAAAAACTTCAAACTTAAGGATAGTATGTATCACCATAGGAAGACGATCTGATTAGATTTTGGAGCACGTAGGTCAAAGGTCAAGGGTTACAGAGGTCAACTTATGAAATTCCATACATTGAGATTGTTATCATAATATCTCAAGAACCACTGGAGATTTAAACTTCAAACTTAATGATAGTGTGTATCACCATAGGAAGACAATCTGATTAGATTTTGGAGCACGTAGGTCAAAGGTCAAGGGTCACAGAGGTCAACTTATGAAATTCCATACATTGAGATCGTTATCGCGATATCTCTAAGAACCACTGGAGAATTTTCACTTCAAACTTAATGATAGTATGTATCACCATATCATAATATCTCAAGAACCACTGGAGATTTAAACTTCAAACTTAATGATAGTGTGTATCACCATAGGAAGACAATCTGATTAGATTTTGGAGCACGTAGGTCAAAGGTCAAGGGTCACAGAGGTCAACTTATGAAATTCCATACATTGAGATTGTTATCATGATATCTCAAGAACCACTGGAGATTTAAACTCCAAACTTGTTTAAATTGCTCTATGGCGGAGGCATCATTTTCGACTGCGCGCAGTCAAAATTCCATCTAGTTTTTGCTTTTATTCATATTCCATGCACAAACGCGAGTTATTGCGAGTGCCTCTTTGAGGCAACTCACCACAACTCGCCATAACTCGCTAATACAACTCGGCTAAGTGGGAGCCCTGCTTTAAGCAGGGCTCCCACTTAGCCGAGTTGGAACCTCGATTTGTGGCGAGCCGTTTTATCATTAAAACATATTTCTTGATATCACGAAATCGAATTCTTGATATCAAGAATTACCATTGCTTTACAACGTAAAATTATTTCTTGATATCAAGAAATATGTTTTAATGATAAGACGGCTTGCCATAAGATCGCGCCAGCTCGCCACAAATCGAGGCTCAAATTCGGCTAAGTTGGAGCCCTGCTTAACTGTCAGTTATGACCTAGGGACGTAGGTCCCCTACGCAAAACAAACACTCGCAAATTATTATTCAATAAAATATGAGAATGAATACTATTATCTAGATCTATTAGGAATAAATCATTGTCAAAATCATTCCATGAATTGGGGTTAAAAAAAATATTCCACCATTATGACCAACAGTGTATGTGCTAACTGTACATGACCTTCATGCAACTCACCTTGGTCAACTAGATACACTTCTAGACAAATACATACAAAAATGGCTGGGCATCCCCCAGTGTCGTGCAATCATTGCTGTAGTTCATGCCCAAAGGGGGGGGGGAGGGGGGAGGGGGGGGGGGGGGGGCTTAATATACCCATTATCTCCTAACTCTATACTGAACGTGTCATTGCCTTGCCTACGGTAGATCGAAAGTTAAAGGCGATGACATGGTTGTTCATGCCCTCGATCAACAACTGGCCAGAGAGGAAAACTGGACGAGAAAGTCCTCTACAATACAGGTTGCACACCAAATTTTTTAAACCAGTTTACAAACGAATTGGAAAGATACTAAAAAATCAGTCAAAATGAACCCGAAAGAGGAAAGCAGGAGAAATTGAAAAATGAAATAGAACCTCTCCTGGTCCAAGGTGAATTCATGAAGGTACTAGAAATATAAAACGGTGACTTGTCCATCATTTTCAATCTACCACAAGGAGTTTTGAGATTTGCAATAAATGCAGCGATTGATAATTTGCCGAGTAGTAAAAACTTGTATCGATGGGGATAGCGAATAAATGACTTTAATGTGTAGTTTGTGTCAAGCTAAAGGTACCTTAAATCATGTAATGACTAATTGTCAGGAAATGTTGAATAGATACACGTGGCGTCGCAATAACATTTTACATAATCTGCTAAAGAGTATACAGAACGGCCTTGATAACGATCACCAAATATATGCCGACGGTGAAGTGGAGACTAGGGACTTGTAGATTGAGTGGACGAGAACACGACGAACGCCGACTGATCATGCGTGTCAACGTACTCAACTGCCCATGTTGATTACAATTAGAAATCTTTTAGATTTCACTCGACGATATACATGCATATTCTATGAACTTGACGGACAAAGAAAGAGGACAAAATATACAGTTCCTCATGTAGACAAAGGAACATCCCTTCCCTGCAATTACGTAAAAATGTGTAGAACAGGTGAATATGCATGTGACACCTGTTTTACACATGTTTACATTAAAGGATCTGGTAACTTTGTCTCAGATTCTGAAAAAAAAATTGGATTTAGCTCATGATGCAATGATAATTATAAACCTTTAGGTCAGTCAGGAACCCCATGATTTTTACAAGCCGATCGCCTGTCTGATTATCAAGATATTTATGATTGGAATGACTAATTTTGAAAACCGTTCGCCTGACGGTTTTCATAACACTACAGTCTATTGGGGAGTACGAGTATGGTAAAACCGGTCACTCAAAGATTTTTACTTTTTTGAGGCACTTCTTGATCATTTTGAAGCGCAAATTTTTTGGGGCTTCAATATTACACCATATCACAGACACTGATAACACGTAGGGCTGTGTATCTCAGATGTAACATTGTTAAACAATCCCTTTAAAGCAGTGAAGGGATGTTCCTTTGTCTACCTGAGGAACTGTATATTTTGTCCTCTTTCTTTGTCCGTCATATTCATAGTGCATGCAGGAAGTAAGCGTGCACGCGCGCGCACGCGGCATACTAGTACCGTACAGGATTTAGAAAAATTAAGGTTGACGCATTCTCGATCGCCGACTGAGACGACGTGACGCATGCGCAGTGCCTTAAAATGACGTCACACGTTGCAGTCAAAGCTGTCGACGTGCAAATCTAAAAGTTCCTATTATCGATTGAGAGACGGTTCCCCCAACCACTGTTCCCACACAACAAGGACCAGATATGTGTTTTATTGATTTTAGAAAAAAGGAAATACTTGTATTTGAATTGACAATCTAATCCAACTTGAAACCAACATACAAACGGGCTCACCGAAGAAGAATGGACAGGTACGCCGGAATGATACATGATATATCAGAAGCCGGCTAGACCCCAAATTACTGTGTGTAGAGATAGGTTCCCGAGGTCTGATAACTCCAGATAACAAGAAGAGACTGCTAGATATGCTAAA